AAGTCAGTGATTTATAATCAGTGCAGGTGGATCTGAGGAAAAACAGCTAATCATTTGATATTTATCCCCTTTGGTAATGAAACAAAGAGTATAGGACAGTGGTTCTCAACCTTGTTAATGCAGTGACCCTTTAATACAGTTCCTCCTGTTTAGGTAACCCCAACCATAAAGTTACTTTCAATGCTACTTCATAACTGTAATTTTTCTGTTAGAGATCATAATGTAAATATCCGTGTTTTGCTATAGTCCTAGAAAAGCCCTGTGAAAGGGTCATTCTAACCCCCAGGGAACAGAAACACAAAGGTTGAGAATCGCTGGTATAGGGAGTGTTGTAATAAAAATGTATCTTAGATCAAAGCCCTTTTAATGTTAGTAATAGAATCATCATAAAACCACTATCTCTGAGTCAGCATTGAAGCTTATCTTTGTAGATTTAAAATTGAAACAACCATGTTTTTTTTTCCTGTAATTTTCAGTAGCAATAATTGCAGCTTCTCATTATAGATGGAAGAAAAAGAACAAATGCTGTGCTCTAGTGTAGAGAGTTATGATAATAGTTTATCTGACATAAGTGTAGGAAGAAAGGGAAGGTAGTGAAAAGCTGATGGAGATTGTGGAATGCAGCTCTCAGATGGCACAGAACAAGAACATGAAAGACAGCCCTAGTAAGATGACAAAGTGACTAGGGATGACAGTTGGAGGATGGTGGTGGTGGGAATGTAGTGACCTTTCTATGCATAAGAAGACAACACAGTAGCATGCCACCCAGACAAATGAAGCACTTATATAGAGGATGCTGTCACAGGGAATGATGACATCATTATGTACGGAGGGTAGAGGAATCCAGGAACAAAGTTGAGTGTTAAACCCTGACCAGGAAGTCAAAGGGAAAAATTGTGGACAACTGAGCCAAGTGTCATTTAGTCCAGAGCAGATAAACCTGTTGCCAATGAAAAGAGAAGAAATCACTCTGTATTTGAGTAAATGTTAGAAAATGGCTGCCAAAGAAAATCTTTTTCAGGAGCTACAGTTTCAAGATAAAGTAAAGGATAAATTAAGGGTTGAAAGATACAGAATTGCATAAGATTGTGGGGGCAGCAACACAGTGTGTTTCAGTTTTTTTTTATTAATTACAATTTATTCACTTTGTATCATAGCTGCAGGCCCCTCCCTCCTCCCCTCTCAATATTATCCTTCCTCCCTTATCTCCTCCCATGCTTCTCTTCAAGTCCACTGATAGAGGAGAGTCCTCCTCCCCTTCCCTCTGACCCTAGCTTATCAGGTCTCATCAGGACTGGCTGCATTGTCTTCCTCTGTGGCCTGGTAAGGCTGCTTCCCTAATAGGGGGAGGTGATCAAAGATCCAGCCACTGAGTTCTTGTCAGAGACAGCCCTTGTTCTCCTTACTAGGAGACCCACTTAAGACAGCCCTTGCTCTCCTTACTAGGAGACCCACTTGGAGACTGAGCTGCCATGGGCTACAGTTGTACAGGGGTTCTAGGTTATCTCCTTGCATGGTCATTGGTTGGAATATCAGTCTCAGGAAAGACCCCTTTGTCCAGATTTTGTGTTTCTGTTTATGGCAATGGAAGAACTAGGGTTTTGTCTCCATATTGATATGTAAAAAGCATCCAAGTAAATGGGGGATTCATGCTAATAGGTCCTTATAGAAAGATAACTGTACATTGTAAACAATGTTTTTATTAATTAGTATGAGTGGTTGGAATGTGTATTCTCCCTTGTACCACACTGATGTGACCTTTTAGAACCAGTACGAAGGGAATGTAATAGATTATCCCCAGAGTTAGTGATGCACTTGACTCCTTATTGCTGCAGAACAGAAAGAAAACAATCATTAGAAGATGATTTATTTTATACACTAATGCTGTTAAAGCAATCAGGCCATTTTTTTTTCTTTTCTTTTTTCTTTCTTTCTTTCTATGAAGAGTTGCAGCCAAAAGGTTTTGTGAAATGTTTTGGAGCTTAAAAGGAGAAAAGGCTGAATAAAACCTCAGTCATGAGGTAATGTAACTTGTCATAATAACTGATTCCCTGGGGTTTCTGACAAACAAGCTTAGCCTCTATTAAGAAAATTATCAGGAGACTAAAAGATGTTTACTAAGGATAAAGCAGACTCAAAATGGTAATTAATCCTTCCTCACTGCTCAGTAATTACTTCCCCAGGAGGTTGTTCCAAACTTGAGCACCAACAGTTCAAATTAGACTTTGAAACTTTGCAAGAAACCGAAGTAAATCCAATGGAAATGATTCAAGAAATTATACAGTTTTGTAGGAAAAAGTGGAAATGTTGTTAATTTGAAAAAATAGAAGTTTGAGAAATTATAATTTATGCTTAAATTTTAGGCTAAGACAAGTAGGTTATCTATCTATCTACCTACTTACCTACCTATCTATTATCTATCTATTTAAGCAGAGGCTCCTATATCCCAACCTGGCTTCAAACTCATGAATCAGAAGATGGCCTGACACGTCTGTTTCTCCTTCCTGACCACCACAAGTGCTGATATTATAGGCACGTGTTGATCTCCCAGCTCTGACTTGCAAGTACTGGGATTTGAACCCATATTTTCACATATGCTAGGCAAACACTCTACCAACATTCCGAGGTACTTTTGGCTTTTAAGTTGTGATAAAAATGAGGTTTCTGTTACTTTGGTAGATAGTGGTCTGCAGCTGAAGAACAGCATAATTTAATCACTGGTTAACCAATGGACATTGTGGAAGTATTATTTCTAGAGCTAATCCTAAAAATTCAGGTAGAACTCTGAAGGAAGCTCTGATAGACTAGGTCTATCTAATACTTCCTCTTAGTGGCAATGTGCGTATGAAACTTAAATAATAAGAGAAGGAAAATAAATGTTAGTTCTTTCATGGATTGCTATCAACTTATTGATTATTCTAAACAATTCAAGAACTCTAAAAACTACCGATAGTTAAACAAGTCTTAGAATATAAGGAGCTGAGAGCTACCATTTCCTTTATCCCCTGGTGTCCTTATAACTCTCAGACAAGTTCGGTATCATCCAGGGTCCTGAAATCAGGGTAGATAAAACCAGTTTTCTCTTTCTTATAATGTTGTATCATTAGCATCTGACTTTCAATGCCCTCATCAGTGAGTTGTGATAATTATACTGCCTAACGGATGCAGTGAAAGAATTAAGAGCTTATGAAATGTTTACTCAGTGCAGAAATTTTTCTGCTAAACAGAGCTGCTCTAGAAACTAAGATTTGCTCTTTCACCCACAATCAAAATGCTGTCTCCCTGTGTTCTGCCCAAAGCGTGGTTGTGTGTTTGAGCATCTGTTTTAATCCCCTAGTAGTCTTATGGAAGAGTAGAAGGACCTAGAGGGGACAGGAGCTACACAAGAAGACCAACAGCCAACAAATCTGAGCCCGGGGTAGAGAGGGTAGACTGTGGAGACCAATGCAACAACCAAGAACCATGCATAAAGAGGACTTAGACCCCTGTTCAGATGTAGCTGATAGGCGGCTCAGTCTCTGAGCAGGTTCTCTAGCATGGGGAGCAGGGGCTGCTGCTGACATGGACTCTGTTGCCTGCTTCTGTCACTTCCTTAGAGGAAGAAGATGTAGGTGGTCCTGATGAGACTTGGTAGGCTGGGGACTGATGGTAGAAGAGGAGGGATCTCCTTTTCTGACAACTAGGAGAAGGTGATAGGATGAAGGGGGATGGAGGGTGGGATCAGAAGGGGAAGAGGGAGGGGTCTATAATCAGGATGTAAAGTGAATCAGTTAAAAAAGTTAATAAAAAAATTTGCCTCCACATGAAGTATCAGGAAAAAAGTTCCTGCTGCAAAGTGCCCTCTGTTTTTTGAGTGATCTTCACAGAATTTCAACCATAGTCATGATCTCTATTTCCATTATAAATAAAATTTGTTCCAAACAAAGAAATACACAATGAATTAAACCAACCAATTAGAAGCAAGCACATGGTGGAAATGATGGATTAAAGAGCTCTTAACAGCAAAGGTGAAGAAAGATGCTTTCTCTGAAGGGCAGAGAAGTTTGAGAACGTGATATAAGAAGAAGATCCTGAGAGGAGATCTTTATATTCTATATAAGTTTCCCTAGAATCAAATTGACTTTCAGAATCCAATACAACTGTTTGTATTGATATATAGGAGTCAATAAGCTTGACGCATAAGAGTCAGGCTTCTAGAAACCTATATAATATAACAGAATAGATTGTACTACTTTTATCTTTCTCTAGGACATTCACAGTCCAGAAACTAAGGATTGGAAAATTAACACGTTTTTTTCCACTCTCTCTATCTGTAATAAAACTAAATTACAAAGCATTTCCTGTAAGAAAGAAAGATTTAAAACATTTTTTTTTTTTGTTTGGGGGATATCTTTTTCTGATGTAATTTGATTTGTTTGGCTCTGTCAGATAAAAGAGGAAAATGAGCCTTTATAGAACACTCAGATCATATTTATGCATTATTTCTAAAAATAAGGCTTTTACAATTTTCATGCAAAAGGTTCATTGTTCACTGTTATCAAAGCATTCCAGGCAATCAGAATAATTTTGGAAATCTTTTCTTACACAAAGTGAAAGTGATAAGTCTTTTGTAACATTTGAGATTTCAGCTAACATTAGGGAAAAGTGAGGAATGTAATTCAAGACATTCAAAATGTGGAGAGTCGTTTCTTATTAGACTATTTAAGAACCCCTCATCTACAATAACCTCATGTACATTTCCTTCCTTTCATAATTGATGAATTTGTTATAGATGAGCTATATTAAAACTAGCCCCCTTTTTACTTAAATATTTTAAGGTGACATGTTGGCAATTATAACTCTCATTAACATCCTAGCAAGCTTTGTGTACTGTGTAATTTGGATTATGCAGCTTAGCTTGTGTGACTATAAAATAATGTGTGGTTTTTAAAGACAGAGAGGCATTCTCCAGGTTGGAGTTACCCAAACAGAAAGTTGAGTGTTATAAATTACACCTCCCACAGACCAGAATTCATATCCATTGGTCGGGGGCAAACACCAAGGACTCTGTATCCTCAGTTACTTTGTGCCACTTCACCAAGTCGGAGCCAAAGGTAAGGTTTTACACATTCTTTCTTCTTTTCCCCGCTAGTATAACAACCTTTAAAAAAATAATTCAACTTGCTTTAATAGCTCCTGTTGGGCTTTGATCGATACAGTGGGTTTGGTTTAATTTTGCTGCTGACTGTATACTGATATTATTCTTGGAAAATCCAAAATTGTGATTAGCATAGGAATCAATAACATTGGGCAAAATAATTAATCTTAATAGTTAAAACAGATGTGAGTAAAAGTATAGTGGTTTCCAATATATGCCTTAAATCAGTAGACATTACCCTGACCACAGCCTTTGGCAGTAGAGAAAGAGAATATTGATTGATATTGATTGAAATATAATGCAGAGAAAGAAAATATTCACATTTCAGATTTTTCAAATGTACTGATGATATGATACTTTGCATTTAGAATGTTTTTGTGATAAATATTTTAAAGTTTCAGCTAAGTATGTATTTTCAGACTATTTTAATATGATATAAAGTGAATTAAAAACTGAAAAAGTCATCTAACAGCTACATTAAATACAGATATAAATACATGAAGGAAGATGAATATTGGTAGCAAAACATACATAGATTCTCTTAACAATTTTACTTCACACAATCTGCTTGCCATTGTCCTGATAGCTTTACTGGAAAGGCTGAATACTACTGAAGTCTCATAGGCAGACATTTAAAATGACAGAATATGAAGTGAGAAACAGTGTTAGTAAGTACATAATATTTTCTTTGAATGATAGAATTTGTTACAAATGTACAGGGTAATATTCTTTTCAGTTATAGCATTGTTGAAACTACACTTGACTGTGAAAACATGGTTCATGGAGAATTTGTAAAACTTGCAGTCCTACTAAGCAAGGTTGTTGGCTATTGCTTATAATAGTTCTAAACCCTCAACCTGCCATGGAGCCAAGTTCATGCAATGTGGATACACACACACACACACACACACACACACACACACAGGCGTGTGTGTGTGTATGTATGTATATTGGAGAAAGCATGGGAGAGATTAGGAAGGAACTCTTTGTCCAGTTCTCATTCTCAGCAAAACCACAGGTCCTTCTGCTTGCATCAGCTTCATATAGGCTTGTTTCAAGTAACTGGAGGTACACTTAAGTATAACAATAATAGCTTCCTTCGCCATGTGTTCAGAGACACTAATACCACAGATTTTGTCTTTAAACTAGGAAAGAATTTCCAGAATATAAACCTTTTCATATTACACATTAAGTAAGAAGCTACACTACTGGGCATCGTGATTAGTCACTCGTTAGTTAATATACTTGATATCACCACTATAAACACTCAAAATTAATTATGAGGCTTTTTTTTTGTCCTTAAAGGAATATATGTACACACCGAACTAAAATCTTTGAAACAATAAAGAAAGGATAAGACTGTCTTTGAACTGTTTCAAAGCTTTACATTATAACTGAAAACAAATTATGCTTTCTAAACAATTACAAAACAAAAGATTGGGCCATTGCTATGTGTGTGCAAACTCACTTCTAAGGGAATTGGAAAAATATCACCTTCACCTTTCTGACCTGTATTCTTGTTGTTTTCTGTGTCTAAGTATCAGTTATTAATAATTAAAACAAAATACTGAAGAATAAAATTCAAATTTTAGACTCTGCTAAAAACATTAGAAAAGTACTTCATGAAATATTAATTGAATGATATATTGTATTATATATGCATTCAGATTCCTAGAGTCAACAAAGAACTGGTAAGAGGCAAGGCCTTCATTAATCTGCTGTGGGAGGAAAAAGCTTTAGACTTGGATACACAAGAAAAAGTTATGAGTGTCAGTTGTATCAGTAATGAACTCTGTTTTAGTCTCCTCATCTATAAACTGGCAAGAAACTCAACTGCCCTCATTATTATCATCCTCACTACACATCTGCATCCAAAAGTTAATGAGAGTTCTTGTGGTCTTAAGTGGTAAGAAGAGCCTTGATGCCTGTAATCATCAGCTAACAAAAGGCTTTGTGAGTCAGTACATTACAAATATTTCACACCGTATTTTTTTCTTCCCATGAATAACATGAAACACATTTCACTCTAGTTTACATTTGAACAATATGAAGGTATGTGTGAATTAAACATTTGGCTCCATCGGTACTCTGAAATTACCAATTTGCATGTGTTGTTTTTTAAATTATTGTTGTGAAGTAAGCTACCTGCTTGAGTTTCTTGACGCTGACATTGAGAATCATTTCTACTTAGTGTTAACTATTTCTGAACTATTGTCAGTTGTATATTTACACAATTTTATGTTTTGTGGTTAGGAAATCTTGAAAAATGAGAATGCTAGCAAGAATTGCCTTGGTACTTACCATCTTTGATGCCACACTGACTGCCCCAACTACAGAGCTCCTTAACTATGATTCAGAGGTCTATGATGCCATCTTGGAGGATGTGGGGACCTTGTATAACTATGAGCACATACCTGTCAACAAAATGCAGGTAATGACTTCTCACAGTTGAGGCTTTTAAATGCACTGAATGATCATTGGTAAGAGCTTATATATAATTTTGCAATAGATTTTGCTTACTTATAAGCAAAGATTGGATCTCAGTTTTCTGTAAACATTGTGATACAATATGTGTAACCTTTTTAATGTGACTGCTGGGACTGTCTTTTTGGTTTCCAACAACACACACATACAAACCTAATAGCATTTTTAGTGTGTGAGACCGTGTGTGTGTGTGTGTGTGTGTGTGTGTGTGTGTGTGTATGTGTGTGTGTGTGTGTATGCATATGGATTCAAAAGAAAATTTTAAGAGATTTGGCTGTCTACTTCCACTATGTGGGTTATAATGACCAACCTCCGGTAAACGAGTGCCTTCACCCATTTAGCTATCTCATTAGTTCCCCAAAAGCAAACAAATTTGTTATAAGTGTCAACAGGAATATTTTAAAGAAGCAATCAGCAAGGAAAAGAAGATTTAAAACATTCATTATGCGATGCTGTGAAAAAATATAAAGAAGCGTATGTGAGATTAAAATAGACAAGAAGAAAAACAAAACCAGGTAAAGAATTCTTGTTTAGAACTGTAGTGTGTACCAGAAGGAAATGTGCATTTGTGATGGTTAATATCTCCCTCAGCAGTAAAGGAGACATTGGCAAGGTTACAGTCCATTACATAAATCTGATATGACATGTTTCTAATTAAATGCTGGGCTTCTTACGCTTTCGCATAACTAAAGGATACAGCCTAATTCTCATGAGCCAGAAAGCAAACAGACCTTGAAGCATGATTAATATACAACATTGGCAAAAGAAGATATAAATAAATAAGTGAGAAAATCAGATTAGCTTTAAAGGATCATTGCAAATTTTGAACCCTCTTTCAAGTGTAAATCTTAGAATTACTGCTTTTTATGGCCTTGAGTATATCTAGACAAAATGACACATTTAATTTTATAAAGTATAAGATGCCAAAATATTTGATACCATTCACATTATCCTATGAAGTAAGACAGATTTCATAACAAAATAATTTTTACACTTCTCTCCTTCACTCTCAGCCTAACTTTTTCCGCCCATATTTCATCTCATTTTCCTCTGTATTTAATAAAGTTTCAACCTCTTAGTAGTTATCTGCCTAGATAAATATTTAAGTTAAGACTTGCTTAATTCATCCCACAGTTTTAAAAGAGAGAAAAAGAATTCAGGGATTAACCAGCTACTGATCATCAGCAAAGAATTCTGTTTGGGTATGGTTAAGTGGTGGGGTAAGGATTGTGCTCGCTTCATTCAGAAGAACCCAGTGCACGGTGTGATAAACGTTGCTTAGTTATGAGTCTTTCTCAGGCATTATTGTGAAGCGTCTTTTCATGGAGATAACAACATCTACATAGAATTTAAAACCACTCATCTTTGTCAACACCCTGCATATTACTCCAGTTCCCCCAGATATTCTTCTGAATGACGCTATTTCCTCCTGCTAGCAAGTAATTTAAGGATACTTCTGCATAAAGATGATTTGGTATACAACCTTCTCTCAGTATTTGCATATTCTCAACAAACAAAATCTCCTGTACCCCCCACGTGGTACATGACTCAGCTTTTGCCTCATGCTAACAGCCCTCATTTGCCACAGAATTTTACTTTAAAGCAGAGCTCATGCTCACTTTATTCCTTGAATAAATTTTGAAGAACACTTACTATTTCCATTGAACAGATGTAACTCTGAAGACAAAGCCTTTAAATAACTTCCCTAAGGTTACATATATAAACAAGATTGTTTTACAATAGAAAACAATTTTCAGCAGAGGATTAAGACTTTGTATACTCATTCCCTTGCTGCCTACACGTTTCCAAATTATCTGATTAACTTGATATTGGTTTAGCTGAACTGAATTTCAACCGTTCTAACACCCCTAAAAGTATAAGAAACGCATTCACCTATGTTGAGGTAAACATGAACTAGAAGTATTATTGTGTGCAGCCTAATTTTCCTACCAATGTCTGAGACCATAAAGAATAATTTTGCATAGACATTCTTCAATGTGCTTCAGTTCTTGATGATAGCCTAAAATATACATGTATGAATATATATCCTGTACTTACATGCAGTGTCATATTAAGTACATATCATATATGTAACTTATGTCTACTATATTTAGTGGTTAGAAGAGAATGGTTTTGTATTTGCTTGAACAGTTCCTTAAAAACTTTAGATTTAAAGAGGTTGGTATTCTTTATGTGGTTTAACAATTTCTGATGACTGTGGCTATTTGATGTTTTCTGTTTCCATAGATTAATTTTGGGTTATGGGTAGTCCATTTGGATGGGAATCCAAAATGTCATAAGGATAATGATTTATTATCTTGTCCTAGAGAAATATCCCATGACAATTGTGGTACTGATGGCATTTCCATTCTTCCACTGCAATCTATAAGATTCTACCCAATTCGATTTCTCCCAATTCAATTTGTCCTATGTATTTAGTTAATGTGACTGGCGTTGACTCTATGTCTTCAATAAACAGAAGCATACAAGAGAATACAAAGATGTTTGTTTCTATATTGCTGTGAAGTGGAATGGAGAGTGTGTCAATGATGCTGCTTTATGAGATGTATAGGAAGACTGTCTCTCCTATCTCAGTCATAGCAGATCAATTTTTAAGGTCTTTGTTCATGTTCTAAACCATTTGTGATGCAACTGAGTATTCTTCATAGTGTGTTTAGCCTGCTCCCAATTCTGGAACTAGTTTTGTCTCCTTTTTTCTTAGTTGTTTTGTAAGTTCATTCACCTGTATTTTTACCTGTATTCATACACCTAAGTCCCTGTGTAGATCTTTTGAGGACAACATTGTTATTTGTTTGTCTTAAAATTGCTTTTTTAGTGTCTGAAATGCGATGGAGTATCTATTAATAAGCAAATATTAACAACAAAACCAAAGACTTTTAGGCAAAATTTCCTTCCAATACTCTGGACAGTATTTCTTGTCATGATATTTTTTAATTTTTTTTTTGATGGGGTTTCTCTCTTAGCCTTGGCTGTACTGTAACTTACTGTATCAGCCAGGCTGCCAGTGAACTCAGAGATCCACCTGCCTCTGCGTAAAATTGCTGAGATTAAAAGGCTTGCACCAGCAACACCAGGCTTTGTCATGACTTTTTAAATGTGTATTTTGTTTTATTTAATGAACATTTTATGTTTATTTAGCGTGTGCATTTAATCAGTCAACCCATTTTGTATAAATATAAATTACACTTTTTTTTATGAAAAGGCAGTCGCTTTTCAATACAAGACACATCCAGCGGTAACAACAGCAGCTTTATGTTTTTGCAAATCCCTTCAGTGCTTGGCCTCATAAATCACTGCTTCTCTTTGTGTCTGCTGTTGACTTCACTGTGTTAGATTGTTTTGGTTGGATTCTGAAGAAATCCAGCCTTATATAGATATGTGGTCCAAAAAGCAGAAGTACTTTAGTATGTGTTTAAGAGAGCTGCACATGTCATGTGTTGCTAGGCTAGACCTGCACAGTATGTCTCACCAGGATATTAATTGTATTGTAGAATTTGATGCTTCATCAATGAAATCACTTACTCCTTTCTTTAAGATATTATCTCTCTTGAAGTTTGGATGAGTGGCTTACTTCTTCCTGGCGTAGAACTGGCATGCATTGGCCATTTGAAAAATTATGGCTCATGGAGTTAGGTGGATCTTTCAAATGTTCATTTGTCTTGGTAAAGTCACCAGAACATAGACAAGCAATGAAAAATGGAGAGTATATATCAGGATAATTTTGTTATTTCAAAAGTTGTTTCAAAATTGAAATAAATTATGTCTGAGAATGATATTTAGAAATGACGAAACAAAAAGATTCTTTCAAGGAGGGAAATTATTCAGGTGATGCTATAAGGGTGGGAGAAGTCTGTGGGAGAAGCAAGCTGTATTAGCTAACAGAAAACAATGGCTTTTCTTTCTTGTCATCATTATAGTGGGTCACACAATGATCGAAGCACAGGTGTTTATGAACTGGGACCCCCAGACACAGCTTTTAGAAGAGTCAAATGAACTCCGGGCTCTTTATAGAAATCAAATTCCATTGTAGATGGCAAAAACACATTACGTTATCAAAAATGAAAATTGATCAGGAAGCTTTTCTTTTTATCTAATATACTTTAATTAAAATGTAATTATATCTTTCCCCTTCTTCCCTACCCTTTCCAGCTGCTCCTGACATGCTGTCTTTCACAATATTTTCAAATTATACCCCTTTTCTTTTAAAATTATTATTAAAAATTGATGCGGAAATATGTAAATGGAGCTTAAGTCTATATTTGTGGTGTGGGCGCATATGATTTCTACACATGATTTCGGGGCTGATCACTTTGTATTGTATAATGAATTAAATAACTCAACCTCATGAAGGGAAATCTCTCCCTCTTAGCATTAGTTGTCTGTAGCTCTTTGTCTAGGGATCTATTTTATAGTAAAATATTCTTGTTTTCTGGAAATACTTAACTTAGTAGTATGTTACTATTTATTTCTTTGGGTAACAAATTATAAGCTATTATTTAACCTTCATGTTTTAATACTGTTGCCTTATTTGGGCCAATTATTCAGTGCATGTTAACATTTCAAACCTGAGGATTACATATGATGTGTGTTTCTATATACACATAAATTAATTCAGACTACTTCTAAAAACAAGATATCATTGTGGCCATTTAACAACAGTAACAGAGGACTAAGATTTTGCTTAAAGCTATTTACCTAAGAAATTTCAGAATGACGTTTAAGCTAGATTATTTTCATGCTAAAGCAAGAAGATTTGCCACTAGAAAAATAACTAGACTGTTATTTTTCAGCTTGATTGCTAATCTTGACTTCTTTTAACTATGTCCAAATAGAGGTTTATTTTCTATGAAATTAAATCATTAGAAAAATAACAGCTTTCAAGTGATTATGATTGGCATGATATCACAATGCGAGTCTTAGCTGTCA